CCAGGGACAATAGAGAGTGAATGACATTCAGTGACTTCATGTGGTTAGAGGCTAAATAACTGCTGGCACTGTGAAGCAGGCGGGACCTGTGATAAATTTATTTTAACTTCCTGGTGAGGATTTGAAGCGACTACCAATGATAGCACAGAATACCGCTGATTAGCATGTGACCCCGGTAGTAATGCACATGGGAACTGGGGCCTTGAATGTCACTAAAGCCATAAAAGTAGATTATATTAAAATGCACATCTTATTTTTACTTTAGAGTAACTGTATGTAGCTGCTGGGGTGCCATGTAAGCACCCATTTTTTCAAATTAGTTTAAAACATATTTGTAAACTGGCCATTGCTTTGACTAGCCAGTTTTACAATCATGCTTCTGATGTATAAACTAACCTTCAGCTCATAGAGCAAAGTCTTTTTCTTCAGCTTTGCAGCATTCTCACTGGTGATGCAGAAATCCCAGCCAGCAAAGATCTTGTTGCAAAAACTCTGAAAGCAATCCTCATCCTGAATCAGATTATGTTTGAACCCGGTGGCAGACCTTCGAAAGAAGAAAACACTCAAGACCACATCTCATCACATAAATGTTATTTCTTATGAGTTTGCCTTTTTCATACCTTTTAACAATCCAGATAAGACTGAGGAAGAGGTACCCTATAGTGACCAGCAGGTATGCCAGTGCCAAATTATAAGTTATGTGGGAGAAATGGATTTTTTCCACATTGTAGAAGCCGTAGAAAAGATAGGTCTGTTCCAGAAAGCCCTGCAGATGAAGCACAGCAGGTGAGTACAGAAACTACAGAGTGGACTCTTTCTCAGGAGACTAATAATGTGACAACACTTACTTCGCCAGAAAGCAGATCAGTAATATACTTATGATAGTTAACAAGACCTCGACGACTGCCACTTTCATACACGCTGCAGTAACCTGTAATATAACAGATAAGCTAAGCTTTTTCATCTTTCTTGCTTAGTATATGCTTCTAATTGAAACAAACAAACAAATAATCCTCTCACTATCATTCTGGCTGAAGGTGATATTTCCTGAAACATGGGGTGCAATGATGATGGGCAACATGACAAAACCAAACATGAGCAGAAAGATGATAAAGTTGAGCGTGACCAGGAAGCGCAGAAAGGAGAAGTAAGACAGGATCCCTGTTCCAAACATCCCTAGTGACAAGTGAAAGAGGCAAAAAGGGAGAACTTAAGTCTGACATAACACAAAGGTACACTTTGTCTTAGCAAAATTATAATTACCGATTAGCACCATTTGAACAGAAATCCAAACAAGTCTTTGAGACCAAAGAAACAATTTCTGTCAGACAATCTGTTTGTCTTTCTTTTACCTTCTATTAGGTGGATGTCTCCCCTCCAGAGCTTCAAAGAGCTCAGCCATTCTTCGCTTTCATCTCTCATCCTCCTCAAATACTTGCGGGTGCTTTGTCGCCACTGTTGCCAGTTGCTCAACTTTTGAGCATCTTCTGCACACCGTTTCCTAAAACATCAAACAGTCAAATAAACTCCTGACACACAAAAACGTTATTTAGCTATTAGTGAAAGAAGTCATAACAGACTACAATTTCCTACTGTTTGCGTTTCTCAGCCATGGGCTTGGCTAGTTCTCTGATGTGTCGCTTCTCAGTCTGACTCTTCTGTTTCACGGTTTGTCTTACAAAGGTGTTTATACCCCATTTCCCACTGCCAGATGAGCCAACCCTTGCTCTAGAGCTGCCTCTTTGTTTGGAGCCAACAGTTGACGACTTCCTGCGGTACAGCAGGGACTGGTAACTGGGGAGCTGGTCCAGCAGAGGGTTACTGCTGATTCGCCCACTGTGATCAGTGACGAACACTTGAAAAGACAAACAAAGTAATGTTTCTTACATGACATTTATTTTTGCTCTTCTGGAACAGATGCTAATATTGCATCTGTACAGAAAACAAAACTCGATGAAATATACATAATACAAAGTAATATGACTGTGTTTAACACTCTGAGCTAATTACCCCTGCATTTTCACAACAGTCACTTCAAATCAGGATCAACCCATCCATCCATCCATCTATCCAATCCATTCACATCCACATAAAAAGATGGACAGCTACACGATTCACTTGATATTGGGCTAGCACAGATTTATTTCTAAGGATGTATATGTTGTCTGAGATTTGCATAAATTAAACTTTTTTTTATTTGCAGACTCAGGTTGGATTCAAGTTGAGATAATAACTACATCACCATGCAAAAGACACAAACCATACCTCATTTCTTCATGTTTTGCTATGAAATTGAGAAATAAGTGCAGAGATCTACTGACAAGTGCAATCATGCATAGAAATAGCGTAAAAATGCTACATTTGTACAGCTGTACTGTACAAATACAATGCAGCTTGAAAGTCAACATTTCATTTGACCACCTTTATTCTTCAGCACAGTCTGAATTCTCTTAGACAAGTTTGCTTTTTATTTTTTTCCCTCCATATATTCAGTTTTATCAAAGGACCACCACACACCATGACAAAAGAAATGAGAACAAACTGATATTAACATAGTGACTAAAGATAAAATTTAAACCATGAAAAAAAAAAAAAACTCCAGAAAGGCTAAAAAATGCTCAACACCATTTAAAAAATAGGTTGTAGCAGTGGAGAGAAAAGTACTACCTAGAGCTCCAGCAGGAGGGGCCCTTCCAAGCCAGGAATGAAAAAAATGCTTTTGTTTACATTTTATAATCCCTATGTAAATTATGTCATAATTAAACTGCCTGAATAAATCTGTTGGATGATTACAAAAATAATAGAAGCTCTCTGCCAGACTTACAAATTTAGAAATGGTTTAGTCCAACACTCATTGAGACTCAACCTTATAGCACAGTTACTTTATTCTCTCCAGGTGACTGCTAATGAGTCTCATTACTCATGTCTTTCTCCAAGAAAGCAAAATTGAGAAATGGCATTAAAACAAAAGAATTGAGAGGCAAAGGAGGTAAACTGAGTTCACTTGTCAGCCATTAACACATTTCTTTCAAAAGGAAGGTCAGCAAAGATAACAGCTAACAGGTTAAGAATGGTTAAGAGGCTGTTGAAAATGTTAAATCAATATAGGATGTCTCTCAAATTTACCAAGCTAAACTTAACACCATTATAACATGTGGCCATGAATTTCAGAAACAGCCAGATAACCAGACGCAGGTCTCCTCCAAATTATTTGACACATGATGAGCTCGTATCTTGAGAACAAAAAGTTATTTCAAGTAATCATTTGTTTCGATAGCAACTTGAACTGAAACTTTACTAAGACTAACATCAAGTAGAATTCTGCTTCTGTATGTGGAGCCAGCTGTTAGGCAAGCAAGGCATTTTGAGGAAGCTGGTATATCTTAAGGCTTAAAATACCGAACTGACACTTCTTCTTAATCTAAATAAAAAAAAGAATGAAAAGGAAAAAACATTCACATGCCAATAGTTTCGTTAGATGTAGCTTTTTCTACATCTAGAAAACCCTCTGGTAGCATGTCTGTGGAAACCATTTTTACGTATTACTGAATCACCCGGTTTATATCTGCAAGACCTTTAAACTGCCATATGACTTCTGTTTGATAACATCAAAGTAAAACAAACAGAAAATGCCTGTCACAAGTTCAAAACATTAAACATATCATAAATCTAATTTAATCTAATGTATTTTTAACATACTGATATCAGGTCTTCTCAAGGTACTGTTGTTATAGTGTTGGGACTCATTTAAAATTTCACAAATATAAAGATAGCTACATTATTCGCAAGAGTTAAACTGTGCCTCAATGATCAGAGTTGACCTCTGACATGAGCCCCAAAAGGATGAAAACTGAAAAATTATACTTCAAGTAAGAGTTTGTGTAGCAGGGTGAGCAAGAACATGTGATAGAGGATGGTGGAAAGGAAGAGAAAGGGGGGAATTGAGGTTGCACTGACTGAGAGTGGTGAGAAGGACGAGAGGAGGACAGAGTTTTCTAACACTTTTCTAAGTGACAGAAAACTGAGAAGAAGCTGTTTTATATTATGGGAATAATAATAAAAATCAATACAAATGAAGGAAATGATGCACCCTTAAACTCAACATTCCACAAAAGTAATTAATGATAAATTGTAGATCACAGGATACTGATATTTCAAACTGTGCACACTTATGAGCTTTTAATAGATTTTTAATAAATACTGTATACGAACAGGTCACTACTGGCTACCCTAATGTCCCTAACACCCTGCGCCTTATAATAAGTTTACACATACAAACAATAACATCACGTCACAACTCAAGTATATGTATCTACAGCTAACAAAAACATGGTTAAAATTCGACACTCCTTTTTACGTTTGCCTCCCAGGAGAAAAGACAATGGCTAACCAAGGGAGCAGACTGTTTTATGAGCCGACAATTGAGTTTCGACACCGTAAACACACTCGAGCCAAACCAGACAAACAAAATCTCTTCCTGCTCTCATTTGAAGGTCTTCCTGTAATCGTTATATGACCCTCTGTCAAATCATTCACCAGCACAACAAACTTTTAGCTACTTTTTAGCGGCTAGCATCATTAGCTAGTTAGCTAATGTAGAAATAAATTGGGTTAATTAATGTAACGCACGAACTTCAAAAATACCTGAGTCGACTTCCATCGCTTCCCTTCCGACAGAATAAATACAGCTATTTATTTATTAGCTAACAATTAACCATCAGACTTCGTCAAAAACAAGGAGTTAACTCTCCCAGCTGTCAGGAAGATAATAGCAGTCTTTCCCAACATCTACTTCCTGGATGTGGATACAGCTCCGGGAGCGACACTAGCTATTATTTATTTATGTTATATCTGGGTGTCGTGTTTGGTTTCATTTTATAATAGTCTGTGTTGCTAGTTACATGTTTAATATTATATTCTATGCTATGTAGTCATTTTTGTAGGATTTTTTAAGCGAATGTGCTAATTATACTAATATGACAGGTTTAAGTTTAAAATAGGTTTTAGTTAACTCACAGTCTCAAAAGAAAAAAACAAAATTATGAACATACAGATTACATATTATATTAGTTAGTTTCACAGTCACACAATATATTCCCAGTTTGTCTATGTTTGTCCTTTCACTTCATTAAAATGCTTGCTCACAACTCTTCCTTCCCTGTGTGGAGCATAGTAAACCCAATTCGCACGCTCATTTTTTCCGGTTTCCGACTATTTGTTTATTGGTTAGGTTTCATTTATCTGTCTGCAACAGGATTCAACCCTATAGGTCAGCCTTTTGAGCCTTATCACCTTAAGTTTTAATAAGGATGCTAAATAATTATTAGCACTGGCGGTTTAATTATTCATGTCACAATCTAGCGTAACCTTTCAATATCCAAGTGCCAGTCCAAAAGCAGCGGACTTTTACCTTTGTGAGCTCAGGCTAAACTTCCTGGTAGGAGGACAGTCCTTCTTTTTATGTCACTGACGGTAATTCAGAGATACTCCTCAGACTTTTAAGCTGCAACTCTGTATTGTCAGGGCGCCCTTTTAGATATATTCTCTCCATTACAGGACAGTAACCAGGTAAGCAGAGGCTAATAACAGAGAAGAATGTCATTTGACAAGTTCTTTTAATCTTTACAGGTTTGTTATTATATGAGAACCTAACTCTAACTACACATTTCTTATAGGTTTCCTGTTTCCATAGTTCAGCCATCAGTCTGTTGTTTTCTGTTCATTGTTATATAAGACCGAGGTGTTCTCTTGCCATAATATAATGGTTTTTGTGAGAACCACAGAGCTATACCACTGCAACCAAACCTCTTTCCACAGGCTGAAACCAAACCTCCTACATGAATTTATAATGATCGGACCGAGCGCTCTAGAGATCAAATTGCACATGCTTTCTATGAAGCTGCCTCTATACAGAAAACTATGTGGTATTAACATGTTATACTACTTGTTTAGGTTTAGTCTTTAGCTTGATAACTTGACTTCAAGCACAATTTTATTGCTTTATTTTAATATTTGTCTTTTATATGGAATAAGTCGTTTACATTTTGCCACTTGACACCGAAATCCTCATATTGGGAGCGACTGGGGCATACTGAGCTGAGGAATCACTGCTGTCTCCAAAGAAAAGCAAACGGATCAATTTGAAGGATCTCATGACAAGTTACAGGAACGGGGGATTTTTCAACCATGCATACCATGACACAGAGACTCTGGAAATTGATAGAAGGTTTGTGTTTATATTATAACATAAAATTTGTTTTTGTCCTCAAATGTGCATCAGAGAAATCTTTTTTCCTGAAAAGTATAGAATTACAATTTGTCAAAGAATGTGTTTGTGAAGGAGTTTGAGTGGTGTGTTGTGTGTGCTTGTAGTAAGAGGAAGTACTGTGAAGAAAAGGTCAGAATGTCAAGCAAGCAAATGAAAAACTAGTTTTAACAGGATCGCCTCAAGAAAAAGGCAACAGCGCGAATTTGTTATATATCTTTGCTTTATCCTCGGCTGGTTCATTTTAGTGTTAATCTTTTTGGTACAAGATTTAAGGTCTGAGGATTGTGGGTGATTATATGAGAGCCCTAGAGTAAACTTTAGCATACTAGTCTCTGCAGTTTACTGTTAAAATGAGTCCAATACTCTATAAGACTGAATGTACTTTAAATTAAATAAAACCTCCACAGTTTAAATTCAAATAACTATATCGGTGACTTGAAATTTCTGTTCTCTTCCTGATGTGATAACGTCAGTGCTCTTAGGTGTCATACATTTATATAATTTATTAATAATTTAATTTATTCTGTTTGGGCTCTAGGGCTTCCAGCAAAACCCATCATACTAACCCCTATGACAACAAAGACCCAACCTGGTGGGGTGACAGGGCTAGCAATGATGCTGCTATAGGGAGAGTGCCTCAAGGTGGCTGGCAGGAACAAAGCTGGAGGGGTAGAGAAAACATCCCAATGGATGCCATCTCCATACGCCCAAGGAGTCCTCCAAGGCACCATGGACCCAGTATGTGTATCACCTCTTTGTGGCCATGTTAAATTATTTAACTATAAAGCAACATAAAGTTTTTGTACACATTTGTGTTTGTTTGATTGAAAAAGTTGTGTTACTTGTTCAGCAGCTTCGTTTTTTGTATATGCCAGTGGATGTTGCTAAGTAACCCTTTGTTGATACTTCCTCTCTATCTCCTCTACATTTTAGATCACAGTATATTTGGGATGGACCCTGAATATAATCAGTCAAGATCTATTCCACTTCCATCGTCTTCAGGTAATACGCTTCATGACACTTAAGATTACACAGTTCCTTTATGGTATAACTAAACACACATTAATCTGTAAAGTTTCCATCACAGGATAATCATTTCACTCAAAAAAATCTGTTGTTGGATGAACACAATTTAATCATGGCGCCTTTTTCCACGTGATTTAACCAAGTACAATAACCGATTTTTGACTATGTCAAACCAACACATTTGGCATTTGGTGGCTTAATGTAATCAGATTATGTTGGATCAGCGTAGTATTCTTACATTGACTTGAAGTGATTTATTTAAGTATGTAGAGTGAAATTCGTTTTAATTGATTCTACACAAGTTAAAAACTTTAGGAAAACACAATGAAATCTTGTTGTTTGAACAACTACTTTGTTAATCAAGGCAATTACTGCTAGTCGTGCTCAATGAACCAATATGGGGGTTGATGATTTCATGGAGACAAACAACCATTTGCACTTATATTCATGGGTAATTTAGAATTCTTGCTGTGAGGCAACAGCACTAACCATCACGCCACCAAGCTGTCAATCCAGGCTTACCAAAGCTATGATTACAAGGCTTGATGCAGAATTTTCTGTATGTTTTTGTCCTTTACAGGTTAAACCACAATAAATAGCGATAGCATACATGTGGTGTAGTTGTCTGCCTCTTAAAACTCCAGCGATTTTCCTGCAGTTTGACATCTAATGTGATCTTGTGAATTTCGTGAGTCCAGGCAACTAACCACTCTTACTAGATTGTATCATGTCATCTCAACAAGAACAAATTAAGTTGCTGAATTTCATGCATGATTTAATTACATTCACCATTGAAACATGAAATTATTTATTCAAATTACAAGTTTGAATCTTGTACATGTAACAACCACCCAATTTCATTTTTTTTTTTGAGTGTTCAAATAACATTGCCATTCATCCTCATACTCATGTCTTCACTAGACTGCATCCTTAATTGTGGATATAATGGATGTCAACAATAAAAGCTACAAGGAAATTGGCAAAGAAAATAAAACAGAGCAAAGGGGATTATTTAGTAAATGTTTTTTGCATGAAGTTCAAATAAAAAGTTACAGCATACAGTAGAAGTGTTTGTTGGTCGGTTTTTCAACTACACTGAAAAAAAGGGATTGGCCAGCTCTTGGATTTATGTAAGTATCTTGTGTGTATTCAACACAAGTGCCTCATGCTTTAAAGTTAAGTGTAACTCTATAGTAACTCTATAGTGTAGAAACTACATAATATGCAGAGAGGGTAGATTAAATTGTTCATGTTTGAGTGAAGTAAGTCAATAATATAGCAATGTTTACATCGCACAGGATTTCAGTCTCGCACGCTTTGGATCGTGGTTTGACGAAGGCATCCATCTCAGTCAAGTCGAGCAGCCGCCTCTACTTTTTTGGTAAACCGAAAGAAGTAAATTGGGTGGTTGTTACATTAAAAAAGCCTACCTTTTAATTTGAACACAAAAATTTCATGTTTCTATCTTGAACGTAATTAAATCATGTAGGATCTGTATGAAATTCAACAACTTAATTTGTTCTTGTTGAGATGATCTGATACAATCTAGTAAGAGTGGCTAGTTGCTGGACTCATGAAATTACACAGACAACTACACACACACCACATGTATGCTATCGCTTTTTATTATGGTTTAACCACATGTAATGGTGGCATTAGTGCTGTTGCCTCACGAAGGTCCTGGGTTCAAATCCACAATTTAATGTGAATGGTTGTTTGTCTCTGTGGTAGACTGGTGAGCTGTCCAGGGTGTTCGCTGCCGAGTGACCTATCACTTCAGGCTTATGCCCCAGATAGGAGGATTGTAGTTGTTGTAGACCCGTTCACTTTTTATAGTAACCAGACTCTAGACTTTGTTGAACATTATGTAATATGAAGACAACATGTAGTATTTAAGTGACCAAGTAGTATTGGGGTAAAAGTTATTGAATAGTGTTGAAATAAAATGACAAAATTGTGAAGGATTAAAATATTCCAAGAGCTCAACTTACTTCATCTAAACATGTTTCAGTTGTGTTTTCTGAACACAAAATGCACAGGTTTATTGAATAGGAATAAGTTGTGTTGATTTAACTCATTTGTCTAAGTTTCTGCCAAAGCAAAACATTTGTGTGCAACCAATGTCCACTATTGAATCAAGTAAATCCAACATGGCCTTTTTTTCAGTGTATAGTTTGATTACCATAGAACATGACACAGATATACAACTTTGATTTACATCTGATTTACACAAGTAAACTGTATTAGCAACTGTTGGATGGACTGTCATGGAATCCATATAGATAGAAATTCAGGATGAATTATAACTATGTCTTCCATTTCCTCCCATTTTATTTAATCTTTATGCTTCTGAAAGACTAAAAAGAAATTCCAGAGTCATACCAAGAGTTGTTAAAAGGCATAACTAACGCATGCAAGTAATACACTGATACTCTGACAATAACTGCAAAGTAATACAGTTTGGTGGGCAATGGCACCAACACCTTCAGTATCATAGCATTATATGAACTGAAAATAAATATGAAATAATAAATTCATCAGAAATAAAGATTTTGAACAAACAGTTGTATATTAGGACCCACATTAGTTTGTATATGGTGCTGTGTCCTGTACTATCAGCAGTGCTTTCTGTCAGTGTTTTTGCAGTCGATATTTATCTTTAGATTTATAAATAAGTAGCAGCTTATTGTTATTATAGAAAAGAGTAAGTGATAAAGGCTGCATAAACGGCTGCAGGTGTTACATTTAAAAATGCTACCCAGTTCATTTGCTGACTGTCACTCTGTTCTTGTATCAATCTCATGCTTTTGAGTTTGAAAATCCACAATAATCACAACAGAAGGCTGGCTGTCTTTTGCTTGTGTGCAAATCCAGGAAAAATGACAATGCGGTGGAGAGGAATAGCGATGAGAAGGATGAGCATGTTTCCTAATGCAGATCATACCCAAACAGCTTTCACAGAGGATGCCATCTGGAATGAGATGCAAAATGGTAAGCACACCTGAGGGGTGTCAGATTATCCTGTGGATTTTTGGATAGTGAATTATGACACCTGATATGTATTATGAAAGGCAGTACTCGCAAAGATTTAACAGCCAGCACTTGTCTTGTCATCTTGTGTCTGACAGAGCAACAAAACCTGCTCGAGGAACTTGCTGCTCTGTCAACACGAGACAGAATCCAGGCCATTCGGGATCTTCCAATGAGCTTTAAAGACAAGAAACATATCAGGTGGGTGAGCCACAAACAAATAAAGATGATAACAAAATCCTTCTCAGTGTCATTCGAAACATTTAGTTAAACATTGCATCCTGCTGGGAACCATAAACTAGGCTGTATGCAAATGCTTGGAGGCCACAGGTGTTGCAATAAAGATCTCTGAAGGAAGTATTTGTCCAACACAAATTACACAAGAAAGTACTAATTGAAGTCCAAAGGGGCTTCTACAGCCTGCAGAAACTTGTGATGCAGGTAATTTGCTTGACAAGGATCCCAATGGTTTTACTCTTACAGGAAAGAATTGGAATTACAGTCTTCCAAGAAGTCTCGCCAATTCACATGTTTGGCAGATTGCTCTGAAAAGCTGTCTCTGGTGAGTGTTTTATCTGTCATAAAAGCAACAGCTGCATCTCTTTATGAGCCTGGCTCATTCATAATTTGTGCTCATATGCTACATACAGAATGTTATGATCTTTTTTCAGTTTTCACGAAAATGCGGGTACCATGTAAAGTCAGCCAAGCAGACCCTGAAACTGTGGCAAGGCGCTATGAAAAGTATTGGTGGGAAGTTTGGGACCAGTGTTCTCACCTATTTTGTGTTCCTGAAGTGGCTTCTCATGTTTAACATTTTCTCATTCCTGGTCAACTTTGGCTTTGTCACCATCCCTCTGCTTGTTTACAAGCAAACCCCAAACATTTCTCAAATCGTGAACAACATACCCCAAAATGTGACCTTCAGAGGACTGGAGATACTAACTGGAGCTGTAAGTAGTACATGCATTTATCTTCTGTTGAAGTCACAACCATCATTATTTTAAAATTTAAAGCTAATGTAATAATTACCATTTAATTAAATGACTATGTAATATTTAAAGAGCTAATTATTTGGTTTATGCTCATGGCTCAAATCTGCATTATTTTGGATGCAGTTGTTTGTTTTCCAATGATGGATACAGTCTGGACAGATCACCAGTCTCACATCCACACCTATAGCCAATTTAGTCACCAGTTAACTTAACATTCATGCACAAAGAGCACATGCAAACCCCAACCACAAGTGGGGTTTCTTCAAGTGGAGTGACAGTGCAACAGCATTTGTTTTCACAAAAGAAAATCTAAAACATGAATCTGCTCTAGATGGCAGATCATAATCAATTAGAACTAGCAAACACTGTTGATATGTATTATGTAATATCATGTTAGATGTTTTCTAATTCTCTCTGTACTGAGTGAACAAGAGTTGCATATATTTTGGATTTCCTAGGGTTACTTCAAGTATACGGTCATGTACTACGGTAGCTACAGCAATGAATCTCTGGTGGGTTACAACATGCAGCTGGCCTATTTCTTCACCATTGCAGTCTATATGGTGCTATGTGGAATTTCACTTATTTTCAGGTTAGTTAAGTCCTCATCATGCTAAAGATTTTACTCAAGTCCACAGGGAATTTGCTTTGTTATGACTCCTCAACATGCATGTGGGAGAAGAGGAGATAAGTTAAAAGAAAAAATTGATAAATATAATAATAAATTATTAGAAAATGTGAAAATTCTAATATAAGTATGCCAAAACAAGCAATCATAACATTGATTAATAGTTGTAGATATAAAAACTCTCATAGCTGCTCCAATAGCTCTGATTCTAACAATGATTCTGAATCTTGATTTGTCCACGTGCAGCATGGCAGTCAATTTCAAGAACAACTATGTACTAGCAGACTCGGCATCAAACAGTGCATGGCAACTTCTTTGCACCTGGGATTTTAGTGTAACCAATGAGAAAGCAGTGAAACAGCGCAGGAACAACCTTTGTGTCCAGCTCAAGGTGACTTATAGCGTTTTTCTTTTTCTAAAAAATATCAAATGCTGAATTAACTGTGACAGATTGAAATTCTGTATTTTACACCTACATACACATCAGTATTTCATTGTTTGTCCTCTTGCTGCTCACTCAGGAGTCTTTATCAGAAACGGCCCAGCAGGAGCGCCTTACAATCTCTGAAAAACTGAAGCACTATGGGATTAATTTTAGTTGCTGGCTTCTCTCCACAAGCTTGGCTTTTGGTTGTGCAGCCAGTATTTACTATCTCTGCGAGTATGAGATTGAGGTACATAAGTTAAAATGGAATAATTAGACTTTGGAATTACTTGTGTCTGTTAAATGTAGACTACAGGCAATGTGAATTCATATTTTTTCTCTAGAGAAATCACTTTTCTTGTTAGTAAAACTAGTATAAACTAAAAAACATGTAAAAATATATACCTCACCTGTACTCTCAGAGCGTGAAAATCTAAACCAGGTGTCATAAATTTACTGAAAGTCTTGTCATTTATTGTTTCATTGCACACAGTATTCGTCATTATGCACTATCTTTACCTGTTTTGTGTTTTACAGCAGGCAACAGAAAATGGCAATTGGTCTCTGCTTGAGGAGGGAAAGACACTCCTGGTTCCCTTTGTGGTGTCTTTAATAAACCTGGTTATTCCACTCTTCTACTCCCTCTTCAACAAATTTGAGCATTACTCCACCCACCGCAAACAGATATATGCTCTGTTGATCAGGTGAAATAAAACAATATATGTATATAAATATGTCTATAAATATGTCTATGTCTATGTCTAGATAGATAACAAAATACAGATATCTTAGTTTACCATTAGACCGGAAATAAGGAGGCAACTAACCTTGTTTTGGTGTGCCTATGACATCATCACAGAGTCACCAGCATGGTAGCAGGCTCCCAATCTTGTTAGAGTTAATTGCAGTGTAATTTGTGGGCTGTGTTATAAAACAATGTAGGACTTCCTGAAGTATAGTGAGAAGACTGGGAGTGCTAGGATCTAGGAACAGTTCTAGGATCAGGCTTAAACAAAAGTAAATATAAAGTATAGTGGTATCTATGTAAAGCCATGACTGTATATATGTAAAGTGGTGCAGCTATCGACACATCTATAAATTTATAGACCATAAATGCCTTAATGGTCTTGCTCCCCCATACCTTTCCGACTTACTTCAGCCTTATATTCCTTCGCGGACCCTTAGATCAGCTGCTTTTGGTTGTCCCAAAATCTAGGCTAAAACGAAGAGGAGAACAAGCCTTTTCAATTATGGCTCCAAAACTTTGGACTACGCTGCCTTTAAATATTAAACAGGCATCTTTGTTTCCTGTTTTTAAGTTGCTTTTGAAAACACACCTTTTTTCGATTGCGTTCAGACTGGTGTGAGTTGATATGTTTATTATGTGTAGTATTGTGTTTTTATGTGAGTGTCAGTGGCTTCATCTTGTGTTTTACTCCTTTGTTTCTGTACAGCACTTTGGGAAAACTTTCTGTTTTTAAATGTGCTATATAAATAAATTGGATTTGGATTTGGATTTGGACATCTAGCACAAAGCAAATATAATTATTTATTTAACCAATAATAAAAATTGAAATACTTTCTTTTTTCACATACAGAAATGTCTTTCTCAAGATGTCCATTCTGTCTGTTTTGTGTTATTATTGGATGAATAAGGTGCCTGCTAAAGGTTCAGTAAGTAATAAATATCCATTTATCTATTTATTTGTGTTTTTTAAACACAACATACGTTTATTTTATCTGTCCCTACTTTATTCATTAGGCATAGACATTCATTCGTGAATTTGTTTCATTCATCAGGGTTGGGAGTCCATGGTAGGGCAGTCTTTGTACCGTCTGGTCCTTTTTGACTTCCTTTTCCTGATGTTGGGATCTTTCTTTGGAGAGTTTCTTAGCAAGTGAGTTATAGAATTTCAATTCATATTTTATATTGTTAGATGGACCTATGTTTAAAATCACATACTCAATTTCTTCCTAATAGTGTGATCGGGACAAAATTAATACCACGCATGGGGGTTCCTGAGTTTGACGTAGCCAGAAATGTGCTTGAACTCATCTATTCACAGACGCTGGCCTGGTATGAACCATATGAACAATACATTCGACATTTCATAAGTTCTAGCAGTGTGTCAGTGGATTTTAGTCAAATCTTATGTTATCTATCCTGATCTTGGACCTTTTTAAATTATTTAAATGCAATCGTCTATTTTCTCTCCACAGGATTGGAATCTACTTCTCTCCTCTGCTACCTGCCATGCAGATTTTAAAATTCTTCATCCTGTTTTATCTAAAGAAGGTAAATGCTGCTACCAGGAGTGCTCCATGCTCCATAAGGGTCGTGTTACTCTATTTGCACACCTCAGTCAATAATTAATTAAAATCCTTTCATCACATTGAATGGATGCTTTATTTTGGGTAATGGAAAAGACAGCCTGGGTTTCGGATTTAAGGAGTAACCATTATGGTTTAATGGTACCAGACAAGATCAATCAATCACTGAAATTTAATGAACTTTGTAGGATTTGTAATTTGATCTAGGCCGGATCTGCTGATGCTGTGTGTTTCATGAACCTGCTGAATGATCTTTTAAAAAGTGAATTCCAAGCTCTGTTTTCTGTTATGGCTCACAAGTTTATTAGCAAAGTTACTACAAAAATAAATCAATAATATATTTGTTTATGGATGTGTATTTATGGGGTAGTACAAGTTTGGTTTTTGCACTTCTCAGGTCAGTCTCACACATAACTGTCAGCCCCCACGGCGATCTGGCAGAGCAGCTCAGATGCAAACCATCTTCATCTTCCTTCTCTTCTTCCCATTCTTCGTGGGAGCCCTGTCAATTGTTGCATACACTGCCTGGAGGTAAGAGGACATGACTTCAACTGCTAAAAAAGAGAAAAATATATCCATCAATTCTATTTTATTCTTTTCTAAGCTAAAATAAAATAATATATATATATATATATTTGTCTTTGATTAATAATGCATTTTGTACTGAAAATACAGAAAGGTTCCAGTCTCAGTCTTGTTTTGTTCACTCTGTCTTGCTCCATAGCCTGACTCCCTCAAAGTCCTGTGGCCCTTTTCGTGGACTCAACAATTCCTTCAGTGCGGTTGATGTCTGGATAGATGATCTAAAAAACATCACTGGCTCTCAGTGGGTCGTCGAGATTTACAATAATGTCATCCGGAGTGAAATCTTCTATTTTCTAATCACACTCATCATCCTGTAAGTGCATAGTGCAAGTGCTGTCTTATGTACACAGCATGTACTTTGTAACGTTGACTGAAAAAGTCCAAGCCATGTTTTGCATATAACTGAGCTTTGCATATAAATGCACATATGTACTGATGCAAAATTTGTGTCATTAAGCAAATGGTTTTCCTGTGTGCAATTTTACTGCTCAGTGTCATCATATACATATTGTGGCAAGTCACTAATGGCCGAAAGGAGCTTATTCGTCGTCTGAGACAACAGATTGTCAATGTGAGTTTGTTCTAGAAACTGTTTCCCTTAATATATGTTTCACCAGACCTCAGGAACAAGTGGAACTTGTCTAGTCTTGAATACATTTACATTTTGTTTATGTTTTTGTTTTTGTTTGCCTGACTGCTTCTGTTTCCCTCCCACCAGGAAGGGAAAGACAAGTCCTTCTTGTTAGAAAGGTTACAGGACCTTCAAAAATCTATCCCAAACAAAAACACCAAACAGAAGAAACAAAAAGGGGTTTGTTGTTAAAATTATTTCATGCTGACATCACTTTGCATGTAGAAGCTTGTTATCAGCCTTACTGAATATTTTATTTACTGTTTAGAGCATGAAACAGCATTCATATGATCACTCATCTGGTGATCAGTCCAACTCAAATGCCATGGTTCAAGCTTTACTTGCACGTCAGCAACTTGAAGAGGAGGAGAAAAGATACAGCATTGGTGGAGTACCTGTTCCTTCTGAAATGTCTAACTCTAGTTCTCTGATGCAAGCCATGTTGGCCCGTCAACTAGCTGACCAGGAGAATGAAGATCAGTATCCGATGCATGATGAAAACCCATCATCTTCCAGTGCACTTGCTCAGGCCATGGCAGCCAGAAACAGGGTGGAGGATGAAGACAATAATCAATATGACATTTTCAACAGATCCAGTGCCGTCACACAGGCCATGCAAGCCAGAAGAAGAGCAGAGGACACAGAAGATGACATGGGTGACCTGCCGCATCCAGTGTCAAGTGTCATGATGCAGGTCATGCAGGCCAGGCAGCAAGCACAGGAAGATGACAGAATTCAATGGATGACTGCTCCACCACAAAACCCTGGGCCTTCAGGCTCCAGTGCTCTTATCCAGGCCATGCTAGCCCGGCAGGCGGCCCAGAATGAATACGATGATGGTTACTGAACAAAATGCTGAGTTTTATCTTACAGTGATGAAAAAACAGATGTATGAAAAACATCCACGTGGCTTTTTAAGACTGAATTTGCACTTTGCGAAGAATATATGAAAGAGATGAGTGTGCAGGTCCACCTCTTAATTCAACTTTTATACAAGTAAATTTTGAAATCTTTCTACGATAGTATGTCAGCCTTGTGTGATGAGTAATCCTAAACATAAATTTGTGCCATTTGTAATGTAAATGTTGTATAAGTTGTTAATTGTTGCACATAATGAAATGTGAGCTAGAAAAGGCAAAATAAAGGCAAATGTTAAAAAAAAAAATGCCCCTGCAAAATTTGTTACAGTTGTTACTGGAGTGAAATGTAATTTTCCCAAGTGGCTGATAAAGACAACACTGCCCTCTTCAGGAACTATGCATACATTGCTACATTTGATTTTTTTTTTTTTTTTTTCCAAACGACAGCTCTTGTTCTGGGCATTTTTAGAACACTCTTCAGACACAGGAAAAAAAAATACTAGGTTGAATATCATTTCTTTTATTTGTGCAAAAAAAAAAAAGCTTCACTAAAAACTACTGAAATCAACTTTGTACTATTTTTACAGTTCAAAAATGTAACTGAAAAGGTTTAATAAACTGTGTGTTCTATATTTGTATCATACTAAAAACACCAGATGTGTTTTGTGGTGGGAAAGTAACAGTCAATCAAAACACAGTTTTGAAATGGGGAACTTTAATAGTCATCATACTTGCTTGAAACACTCCGCAGAGCCTTTTTACCGTCATGAAGTTTCTACTTTTCTCCAGTTAAAGCAGAATCATCAAATGAAAATGACTTACACTGTTAGAAATGTGGTGTACTGACTGTGATCTCTCCAATAGTGCTAGTGTTTAGCACTATTGGAGTGTTGGAGAGTTGGGAGTTCGCCTTGTAGTCCAAAGGTTGCCGGTTCGAGCCCCCGGCTTGGACAGTCTCGGTCGTTGTGTCCTTGGGCAAGACACTTCACCCGTTGCCTACTGGTGGTGGTCAGAGGGCCCGGTGGCGCCAGTGTCCGGCAGCCTCGCCTCTGTCAGTGCGCCCCAGGGTGGCTGTGGCTACAATGTAACTTGCCATCACCAGTGTGTGAATGGGTGGATGACTGGTTGTGTAAAGCGCTTTGGGGTCCTTAGGGACTAGAAAAGCGCTATACAAATACAGGCTATTTACCATAGTGTTTATGGGAATTTTGTTCTCTGCGGTAAATTTCTTTCCAGTTTAAAAAAAATAAAAAATTCTAGTCCATCAAAAGTGTTTTGCAAATGATCGTTTGACCTTTATGACACCATCAAACTTAGCCAAGGTGAACATTCAAAAGAAAAATGATACATTATTACCAACAATCATTCTGTGTACAAACTTTACATCTATTTTACAATAAATAGTACCATAAATACTGTAAACAGGCACATCATTTGCAGTATACATTTATGGCTTTGATTCACAAGAATGAAAACCCAGTTAGATTTTCTGACTGAACATGTCTAATAAGGCTAGAAGCATTAAAGAGACACTCATTCTTTTGAAACAGTATAGATACACTTAACATTACATTTTAAATCTACATCGTGGTAAGCTGCACAAAAGAAAAAACACCTTCATGTCCACTTTTAGCTGCAATTTTCCAACTTTAAACTTATATGACTTAAACTTTCATGATGGGTTTTCATTAAGGCAGTACTAAATGTGTCAGACAGGGCTAACACCGCAGCCTGTTATCTTGTAGGTGTTTGTCCCACAGTGAAAACTTACCAAAGACAGCTATGCGTCAGTCCAATGGGATGCCACATTAAGAGAAATGCCGCCACCTACTGTCCTTTCTCACTCAGCACTGCTCTTCCCCCAAAGAATTTGCAATGTCACTGAAGTCCAGCGAGTCACCTGGTATAGGAGTTTTCCTGCCACTTTTTATGGTCTGACTAGAGTAATAATCCACAGATTTGGAGATGGAGTGCACAGAGTGCTCCCGGAAATATCCGAATGCCTCCCGTGCGTCCTCCTCCCTGATGCTTTGCTCGAAGGTCTTGCGTTTGTGTCTGAACTCAATGACGGTCTTTGTATAGGAGTTGAGGGTGGTGACAGATGCACCCATACAGCAGGTGAAGGAAGCCCAGGCCATGCTGATATAAAACAGCAAGATAATTCATATTTTAATAAACAGATGTGGTAGCTGAAAAAAAAAACTAACAAAAAAAGTGAAAACCTAATGGTGCGCTTCAGTGTGGTGAGGCATTCTGACGTTTTACCCTCAATACCGTGACACTGTATTTGGTAAGATTAGTGCCAATCACTTTAAGTCCCCCTGGTCTCCTCAAACAGGCTGGTTCGCATGTGAGGTCAGACAATCAAATCATCATCCCATGTTGTTTTCATGCAGACTGGATAATTCCCACAGAAGGTCAAGAATTGTTTAGCCTCCAAAATGAATTTTCAGCATACTGTGCACATTGTAAAGGAGTAAAATATTATTCCCTTATGCAATTCTAATCACACCCGCACTGGGGCTTTGGACACCAAAGCCTAATCCTACCATAACACGAGAGCTTTGGGCTTTTTTCATTACAGACAGTGATGCTGAAGAGAGGTGAGATCAGCGCTTCTGCTGACAGTGTGAGGCAGCACAGACATGCAGAGTGGACTTCTTCATCCTGTTTCTTAAAGAACGATTTGACTTAACTCTATCTATGTAACACTATAGATAACACAGCGTATAAAATTATCTGTATTGAGGTGGATGTTTGCAGAGTCTTACCAGAAAGACCAGCCATAGTCCCAGTTGTAGGGCCTCCAATCTGGTGGGCCAAGGCTGACGGTGACCTGGAAAACCTGTGTGTACATGACATGAGCCACCATGCCAAGAAGACCTGAAATCATATGCACAGTATATTGTTAGTAAGCTTTTCTGATTGATTCAGTGTACAAACAGAAAAGAAGAACAGTATTAAAAAAATACTTCGATGATTTCTTTCGAGTGCAGAATCAACCCTTTCCATGGGTATGGAAATATGAATATCCTAAGTAAAAACAGTGATGTTATCCAGGTGAGGATAACCTTAAATCCCCATCCAAGTAATTTACTAAGGTTCATTTACAAACTGTTATTTTGGGAAAAGAAGTGAAAAACATATTCAGCTGACCCTCTGCTTTCTTCTCGAGGCTTCTGTTTCTTTTTTAGATTTTGAATTGAGTTCAGATTTACTTCTGATCATTACAAGGAAACCAGACGGATGTTTCTCTGGTTCAAGAACAACAGCTCCCTCCTTATCAACAGATTAACCAGGATATGTTTGTTATGTTGTATTTCAAAAGCTGGCTTACAAAGATAAATGACAATCTTAGAAACCAGAAGCAAATACTTGAATACAGTACACTGCAGGAAATGTCACAAAAGCATTAAAGTTAGTGAAAAATAGAATCAAGCACATACCTGAAAGCACTGTAAAGATGGCAGCAAAGGCATTGAGTTTGAGTCCATCAATGACATTGCTGGAGTGCACTAGCTCCAAACACATGAGACTGAAGCCAACCAGCAGCAGAATAATGTACAACATCTCAGAAACAAGTGACAACCACAGCATCCCTGAAAAATGCCCAAAAAGCAAACAAGAAATGCACAATAACATAAATTAAGATGGAGATTCTTTATTAAAGGGAAGATTTTGATTTATTGTCACCTAACATCTCAATCTCACTGGTTAGTCAGACTTAATGTGGGGTGAAAGTAACATGACGATCTCATATGAAGTGCTACTTGAACTGATGTCAAAGCTTTCCGGTTTACAGAAAGCTTTATTCAGCCTTCCAATTAATCTAGTGGAATATAATCTGGCTGCACATGATGATCAGACATTTCAACTCCTCTTCACTCCATTTCTCGATTTTTTGCTTTTCTTGACAGATTGACAGGAACTAAGCATTTCTCAAGTGAAAGTGTCATCGCAGCTAAACATCTGTGAAACTTTAAACTGAATGTGTGAGCCCTCCTTCATGATTTCACATTAAAACATTCTTGAACTGACAGTTGCTGATTAGATCAGAACGGACCAAGATGTTACAGTGATGCAGAAATATTCACAAACATGGGGAAGTACAGCTCAGTGAATGAAAAGAGGGTAAGAATTAGAGGGCTTAAAGAGTTGTGATAACCAAGGTAACGCAGATAGCACTCACCTTTTTCTGATGCAGGGGCTAAATCAATAAAACTTCGACATCTCTCACCTAGAAACACAGCAGAAGATGACATGCTGTCATGATTTATTATTTATTACTGATCATATATATATATGGACTTTAAAAACACAGGTGGACTCAAAAACTGTGGCATAATGACAGTCTGTGACAAACAGGATACAAAATAACCAGTGACACTAAGGATTCCTGCAGACATGATGTTTTCCATCTGTTGACCAGAGCATGCCACTGGATTTGTTGCAAGTGGAACGCTTTAATCAGGTAGAAGGAGGGTGGCAACAGCTGTTTTGAGGAAAAACTCATCAAGGCCTCTGTTACGTAATCCTTATTAACTCAAGCTGTCTCAGCACTCCCTTCCTCCTCACCATCCCACAGTCACTTGATGAGATAAAAATGTGTTATTGCAATTGCTTCTTGGATATTTTGAATTTGTGGTTTGTTTCTAGTACATCACAAAAACACAGATTATCAGCACAGGTTGTCATGGCGTATTACAGAGCTGACAGACAGATGCTTCAGTAATTCCTTATCCAGCTGTAATAAACTAAACAGAGAGAGGACTAATCTGGGCTGATCACACCTTTTGTCCCTGAACTTTTCATGGTCATGATCACTCCTCTGACACACGTATAATCCATCCTCTTGAGCCCTCTGTTATTAATTTACAATACTCCATAATGGTCAGACTTAGTGAGTAACTCAAGCAACACACCATTCAAGTCCCAGGCAGCCGGCCAGCTGGGGATCTAAATGCTATTTTGTCTCCCTTAAAAAATAAATAATGATGAAAAAGTGAATTAAATGATTTCAGACTCAAGCTTTCAAGTGCTGCTGCTTACTTTTCTAAGGCATAATGACACAAATGGAAAGCCATTAAAAAAATAAGGAAAGAAAATCTCTGAAGGAGCAGCCAATCTCCATTTTAACTAAGTGTTGTATTTTGACAAAGGAGGAGATTAAAATGACAAGTTTATAAAAATTACTATTTGCTGGTTTTTTTTGTTTTTTTTATTTCTTTGGCTATTTTAAATGTTGAATGGTTGTTCGTTAATGCTTACATCAGCTCAGGTGTTGTCAAGTTTGATGACAATTATAAACAATTAAAACTAAAGATTAAAAAAAGATTATAAATAATAAGAAAAAAAAATAGCTCCAAATGGTTAAAGTCTTTACACTGATTTCAAAGCCATTCCTTCGTAATCATGAATTGGCGCATGTGTCATTTTTCTTCACTTACAGAAGCTTTTATTGCCGAGATTATCGTTGTGTTACATGAATAGTTATGTGTTTCTCTTAAGT